CTCTCTCTCTCTCTCTCTCTCTCTCTCTCTCTCTCTCTCTCTCTCTCTCTCTCTCGCTTGCCCTTAACACCCTCTCTCTGTGTTTGGGTCATGGTGCGGGCAATGAATGAATGACCTAGCCTGTCTGATTTTCTTCTCTCTTGAATCGGATAAAAAGCGGATAAGATACGATTCTAAGAAGATTCTCTCTCTCTCTCTCTCTCTCTCTCTCTCTCTCTCTCTCTCTCTCTCTCTCTCTCTCTCTCTTTGTTGTTGTTTCCGTCATTTTGCGGGCAATGAATGAATGACCGACCTAGCGTGTCTGATTTTCTTTGATCTTGAATCGGACAAAAAGCGGATAAGATAAGATAAGGTTCTAAGAAGATGGTTCTGAGGGAGGAAGTTCCATCGAACACATCGGGATTCGATCGTGTGACCTGGCTCATCGTTACACCCAGAGGAAGTGGGCTTTGTGGAAATGCACGACGCTATGGATTTTCTCGTCTTATCTTTAAACGATAACACTCCGCTGATGTGGCGCCACGTCAGCTTCGGCAGAAGGATTCAAGTTGAATGTGCCGTAGAGAACGACGGACGAGATCATGTGATGTATTCTGAAGATCGACGGATTCGACGCTATCCATATCCATATCCATATCCATATCTCTCCCCGATGACGTCATCAACGCTCCCAGCGAGTGAATAAAGATGAAGAGTGTAACTATTGCGCTTCTGACATGACATGGTTGCCTCCTCCTCCTCCTCCTCCTCTACTCTCTGCTCTCTTCTTGACTCCCCTCTCTCCTCTCTTCTCTCCTCTCCTCTCGCCTCTCCTCTCTCCTCTTTTCTCTCCTCTCCTCTCTCCTCCATCAGGACTCCGCTGAGCCTTGCCTTCTATTTTGTTTTTCTCTCTCTCTCTTCTTCAGGACTCTCTCTTGAGTTTATAGATTGACACGCGAATGCAGTCCCCGTCGCTTGGCAGTGTATGGACCTTTCCACTTGTACGCGATGGCCGACCTGTCTACCCCCTCCCCATCCCCCACCTTATCCACGACAGAATTAATTACTGCGGAGGACGAAGGTTTATATGGTAATTATACCGTAATGGCTTGTGATCATCAGTCAATCATCTGATGTACGTGTGTGTGTGTGTGTGTGTGTGTGTGTGTGTGTGTGTGTGTGTGTGTGTGTGTGTGTGTGTGTGGGTGTGTGCAACCGGATGAAGGGCACGTTGCTGTGACTGTGTGACAGCAAAGACCACAAGGCAGCATGTGCCACGTGGTTGGTCGAGATTCCACTAGCACGAATTAAGAGATAATAATGACCGTGGATAAGGTAGAAGATCAAAAGGTCACTACTTTATATTACCTTCTCAGGGCATACTCACAGCAGGACTGTCCCTTGTAAGCTCTGGACGCAATTGCGGTCAGATTCATCGGGCGTCACAATAAAGAAAGTGCCAGCAGGAGTATAGGCCCTTAATCAGTGCAAGGATTAAGAGATAAAAATAGCTCAGCGGAGATCAAATGAAGATCTACGGTCATTACTATTATTGTTATCTTCATTATTATTATTGTTATATATCTTAATCTGTGCAGGGATAAAGATCACTATTATTATATATCTTAATCTGTGCAGGGATAAAGAAGAGATAATGGGCCTCGATCTACTACACAACGTTCAATAAATACGTATCTGGACCTCATTATCGTCCCGATACATTCAACATGTTGGCCTCGTCCGAATGCACGTGGTCGAGAAACAGTCCCAATGCATGTAAAACGTGGAGTAGAGAGCAGCGAGGCCCAATGTTTGACCGTAGTTGATATACCCAAGATGAAGAGCGAATGTGGTCAGTATTACTCTCTCTTAATTCGTGCTCACAGTCTTCCCTCGAACACAACGCATCCCCCATCATGAATGCATCTTACTAGAAAGCTAGCTTGTATACATTCATGATGAGGGGTGCGTTGTGTTCCAGGGACGACGGTAGTGGAATCTCGGCCGTTGGATCCCATCGTTGCTGCTCACGCGTCAGGCTGAGGCGCACGCCTTCTGCGTCTGCGGCCCTTCTTCCCGCCCTTGCGCTTTTTCCCGCCCTTTTTCCCGCCGGCCTTGCGTCTCCTCTTGCAGGTGGTCAGCCCGTCTCGGAGTACTGCAGCATTCAAAACAACCCAAAAAAAAAAAGAAAAAAAAGAAAAAAAAAGAAAAAAATAAACAAAGGAAAAAATAAACAAAGAAAAAGAAAAAAAAATAAGCGAAAAAAAAAAAGAAAAAGAACAAGAAAGAAGAAGAAGAAAGAAGAGGCAGCCGCACACACAAATCACACAGTTGATGATATGTCAGACTCCCGAGTTATTACCATTCTATATCGGCAGCATCCATCACAATGACAGAATGACAACATGGATGAACATCTATCTATTTTCCTTTTTTTTTTTTTTGAAAGGGCGACGGCCTTAAGATGTCATCACTGAGCTAACCGGCCCCAGAGAAAAGTGCCATATCCAAAAAAAAAAAAAAAAAAAAAAAAAAAGGTTTTAGTTTTTTTTTTTTTTTTTTATTTTTTTTTTTTTTTTTTTTTTTTTTATTTTTAAAAATATTTAAAAAAAAAAAAAAAAAAAAAAAAAAAAAAAAAAAAAAAAAAAAAAAAAAAAAAGAGTGCTATATCTACTAAGCATTCGTCGGCCCCTGAACAGAACACACGCTCACTGTGGCCACGTTGAAAAATGGTCCAAATGCAGAGTATCGCCGGGGTCCGTCTTCACTCGAACATAACGCACCCTGAAAATGAAGACATACAACTTGATACAAGCTATATTTCCGAGCGCCCGGTGCTGTCTTCAGCCGAACAAAACGTACACAGACAATGAGTGTATACAAGCTATATTTATGGCCTGGTACAGGACCGTACAGCCATCATCAGGGTGCGTTGTGTTGGGGGGGAGGCAACCTGTCCAAGCGAAGGCTTGACCGATTGAACAGTGCAGACGAGGAGGGAGAGGGTTTGACCATGCCTCCTTTTTTCTTTTTTCTTTTTTCTTTTTCTTTTTAAATAACAAAAAGACCACTTGCAATGGCTCAAATTGTATTGCATTTATTTGTAGGGCCGATTTAATTGTATTTATTTGAACGAAATGAATTCTAACTAATTTCCATTTTAATTGAACTGAAAAGCTCTAGGCTACCAGCCGGGCCGCCCGGGTGACCTTGTTTTCCTGGGCGGCCCGGCCGTGCAAGGGCCAAAGTAGGTGTCCGCCCCCCCCCCCACCAAAAAAAAAAAAAAAAAAAAAAAAAAATCGAAAAAATCTGAAAAAAAAAAACATGTTATGCAGGAAAAATAAACTGAACAAGTTTTGCACCAGGGCCACATCCAAATTCTTTACCAAATCCAGAAACGATTAAGAAATATCTGGCCCACTGGTACCACTGTCGGGACTAAGTCTTGGTGACGGTACAGATGCATCATGACAAAATGCCCCGGCTGGTGTTCTTTGAGTTCTATATCTGAGGCGTCCATCACATTTGCATTGTTTTCTGTTTTAGCCTTGCATTTGCCTTTACTTCGCAAGTTCGCACGTTTCTTTCATACTACAGTAGAATGTGCTGCGGATATTCTGCAATATTTGCCTTTTCCTGGGGTCATTGTGACTTCCCCTCTGGGTTCGGCCGGTGATGTCGTTCCACTGGGGGAGCACAACAACATTGCTAAGAGACGCGGGGCCCGGCTCCCGGCTCCCGGCATTTAAACTAAAGTTGCCATGCTTAAAAAAAAAAATCAAAAGAATCTTTACCAAATGAAAAATAAAAAATAACTTTAATAAAGTTATATATATATATATATACAGGGTTACCTGACCGAACGTTCGGGCCCCCGGGCTGGCCGCCGAACGTTCGGGCGTTCGGGGTCCCGTTCGGGGGCCGAACACCTCCAGGTTCGGCCCCCGCCAAAAAATGTTTCGGGGCCTAAAAATAAGTTGCTTTTTCTGAATTTTTTTGTGTGTGTTCTCTATAATGTAACCTACACGCCTAGAAATTTTGAAGCCATTCTGCGAAGCCAAAAAAACATTAAAAATCGTCAAAGATGGGGGTGTCAAAACGTGCTCACCCACTCTCTATTTTATCTTTTTTCACTTTTAACTTTTTGAAACATTTTTAATTAGTTATTGATTATGTAAACTACATATCTGTAAATTTTCACGGCATTTGTCAATGCTAAAAAATAATTAAAAATCGGCAAAGATGGCGGTGTCGAAAAGGTGCTGGCACACTCACTCATTTTAATTCTCTTTTTATTTTTTTCTTATTTTTATCATAGTGTGTATTTTCTGTATTTGATTTTTAATTCAAATTTGGTAAAGCATTTGGATGGAGTGCCTAGGCAAATGTTGTTTACTTTGTTTTTCTCCATAACATATTTTGTTTCCGGATTTTTTTTTTAACCCTTTTTTTTTTT